TACTTGAAAGTGGTATTTAACTCGGTTATAGGTGATTTGTTTTGTTTTTGTCAAAAGTGTGTCTTGATTTTTCTCTCATAGTAATCTCAGGTGATGATTTTTTCTCGTAGTAATCTCGAGTGAAAAGCGACAACGTTTCCTATAGAATGTGATAATGGAGGTGATCTCTACAGCTGCTAAGAACCCCATGGAATCCAGGCTCCTTTCACATCTGCAGAGCATCTTGAACATGTACGACCAAAGTTTCAAGTGAGAACATGCATAAAACGATAATGACTGTTTTTGTGAGTCAGTCTAGATGAAAATATCAACTGAAAATTTGTATTGGAGCATTCCATTTTGTGTGTGTAGTGCAGAATTTTTATTATACATGCGCTGTTGTTAAATTATTTGGATATAAGTTTGTCAAACCAGCATTGTTTAAATGCTTCATTGTGTGACTAACTATCTGTGTGGTAGAACTCTCCATGAAAAGTAGCCACTCAGATTGTCAGAAAATGTTCCCCTTTTGTGACACCTGAATACTCATTAGCATGTTCACAAGAGACTACCTCTGGACCCTATCTTGAGCCACATGAATTCAGTCCACATCCTTAGATCCTGTCTCTTAAAATCTTTTTTTATATATTTCTACCATAAAAACATCAGGAGCTGTCCGTTTTCTTTGCATATTCTGGCCAATTTTTATGTGCATTTTTAATTTTCCTCAAGCATCATCACGGATACGTTCAGCTGAAACGTTGGTAACAGCCTACAAGACGTACGTAGTGTCACAACCCAGAAGACGCCATTGGAACCTCAGATCTCAGCCTGTTTGTTATAAAGTTACTATCATACCACACTGAATTTAGCGTAATTCACTGATGTAACATTGTCTGCAGTTGTGTTATATTTTATAATAACTAATTTATTACACACAATTTAAATACTTTTTTCAGATGGCTTGGACTGTGATGATCCTGAAATTGCATCCCTTTGCCTTGATGGAATCAGATGTGCCATCCGGATAGCTTGCATTTTCCACACGACGGTTAGCTGATATTCTGTGTTGAAGTTTGTTTTGTACAACACAGTTTCTACAGTGTTCCCTAAGGAGAGCTTATTTTAAGTAATGTGCACTTCTTACAAAGTCATGTAACTCTTATTTCAGCTGGAAAGGGAAGCGTGTGTCCAGGCTCTGGCCAGGTTCACATTGCGTACTGCTAACTCACCTATCACTGCGATGAAGGCTAAGAATATTGATACCATTAAAACTCTCATCACTGTTGCTCATACTGATGGTAAATATTTAAATTTTATTTTAAAAACAAAATGATAATGTGCTGATTGATGCATTACAAGTGACATGATTGGTCGACTGTCTGATATTTGGATCTGTTACTCATTGAATGTTGCAACTGAGTGCCTACCACTTCTTTTTGTATGGGAGGTCCCAGATTAAAATCTCAGCCCAGAGATTGGCTATTGTAGTTGACATTTTTTGTGGTTTTCTTCACTCCCTGCAGGCAAATCCTTAAATTAGGCCACAGCTCCTTACTACCGTATCCTTTCCAGTTCATTATTTTTGGCCATCCTACCATTTGATGCTGTGTAGTATATTGAGCTACTTACAGCATCATTGAAAGAGCCACAACTAATTAGATCTATTACTTCATGAATATTGCAGCCTATTATTTGAAAATACAGTGAAACCTCGATGCATCGTTTTCGGCGGGGGTGGGAAATAAAAACGATGAATGCGGGAAAACGATAGATGCGGGAAAGCATTAAAATTTTTAAAAAAAACAATGTTTCTCTTTCAAAGTTACTTCTTTTTACCAAAAAAGTCTTTAATGGACAACTGGTTTGTCGAAACTTTACGTTTTAGACCAAACAGAGCACTTTCCACGTTCAAAATGTTTTCCTCGTCACATTCACTAATATTATGCGCATAAAAGAACGACTTCACTTTCGCCAATGCAGCGTGCGCTTCGGCAAA